AAGTAAAATAACAAACAAGAGAATTAATCTGATTAAAAAGTATAACAAAATATTATTGTTTCATTTTATATTACAGCGAAAAGATAAGATATATGATGAAGAATTAATGATGGTTACTCAACGTATGGTACTACAAAATCCAGATATTTATACTTTATGGAATATCCGTAGAGAAGCATTTATAAGTAATAATTGGTAATTATATAGTAGCAATAATTTAATATTCAATTTTAACTTATTGATATTAATTTGGTCTGCTTAGTATTAGATAATTGGTATGTTTTTTACATTGTTAATATTTATGACTTAATATTTTAATAATATTATTATTTATTGTTTATAGTAGTACGATAAATATTTATATGTAGTTAGTATGAAATTTAAGTAGAAGAATTTTTAATGCAAAATAATAAAGTAAATAAAAAATTAAATGTAAATATTATAAGTAATATATTTATTATATCTCATGTTTAAGCAAAATTTAATACTAAAATGAAAATTATATCACATATAATATTAACAAAACAGGGATGAAAATCTTTTAAAAGAGTTTTATCAAAATGAATTAACACTTACTGAAAATTGTTTAAAACAAAATCCTAAATCTTATTGGGTATGGTATCAACGAATATGGATCATGAATCATTTAGTGGATTGTGACTGGAAAAAAGAGTTAATGTTATGTACTAAGTGCTTAAATTTGGATGATAGAAATTGTAAGTTGGTAATGTTATTAAACGTATTATTTTTATTAAAATGTAGTAAAATGTAAATATTATTTTTATTTTATTTTAGTTCATTGTTGGAATTATAGAGAGTTTGTCGTACAAAAAGCAGGGATTTCTCCTGAAGAAGAATTTCAATTCGCTACCTCAAAAATTCTAAATAATTTTTCTAATTATTCCTCTTGGCATTATAGGAGTCAACTATTATCTAAAATATTTTATAATTCTGATCAAAACAGAATTAATGAAAAAAAGAAAGAGGGTAATGTTTTTGTTAAGCATTAATCACAGTTGCAAAGTATAATATTTATTTTAAAATATTTTATAACATATAATAGCAAAATTATCTTTTTCCTTGTAGAATTAGATTTAGTGATGAATGCAACATTCACAGACCCTAGCGATTCTAGTGCTTGGTTTTACCAAAGATGGTTATTAGATACTCATGGATGTTTGACTACTCTTTCTCAAGCCTTAATAAAAGATAACAGTGTGATTCTTTTTGTTAATAAAAACATACCAGCTGAATCAATATTTTTGCAAATAAATAACAAAGATGAAGATGTTCAGTGGAAGTCTTGGCAAGAAACAAAGATTTCAAAATTATGGTTTGGAAAAGTTAAAAAACAGTTAGATGAAATAAAGGCTGTTGAAATTAAAATTGATGAGATATCTTATCCTTTACTTTGTGTTAATCAAAAATGGGTATATAGAAAAAGAAAATATGAATCCTACTCTAATGAAGATCAGTTATTAGAACAATTATCAAGTTATAAACAACTTGTAGAAATGGAACCTAATAATAAATGGGCTTATCTAACTGCTATTCTTTTAATGAGAAAAATCAATTTTATAAAATATTATAAAAATATTTTAATATATTTGAATGTCCTTGTTAATATTGATTCTCTTCGAACTAATTATTATAAAGATTTACGTAAGTATATTTAGCAAATAGCATATATATGTTACCATTTAATGTAATAATCATTGCTTTTATAATTAATTTAAAATCCAATTTTATTTTTTATATGACTATTTTTGAAAATTACTGTCAAATTTAAGATTTACAAGATTTTCTTTTTAATTTTTTTATCATAATTTAAAAGGACCTTAGTATCAATTTCTTGATATAAATTTCTGACAATATAAAAATAGATTTTGAATAGAATTATTCTTCCTTAAATCTAATTTTACCTGAATATATTCATATTAAATTCAGCTGATTCATATTAAATATTACATTTTTAAATTTAATAAGTAAATATTAACAAGTAAAAATTCCATTTTAAATTTTATTAGATTTGTATAAGAATTCTTCCAAAACTTAAATATTCAAAAATCAATAATTTTTATAAATACAATAAGATTAGATAATTGTGGAAAGGAGTGCATGAAGTAATTTCAATTAAATTGTAATAATAATTATATCTATTATAATCGTAATCTATATTTCTAATATTATCATTCTAATAAAAAGTTTTAAAAGTTAAACAGTGAATTTTTTCCAGGAAGCAAATACATAATTGAACACAAATTATATGAAATATGGAACACAGAAGACCAGGAAATAAAGTTAGAAATTGATCTTTCAGGATTACAATTAACAACACTTAGTAATGATGAATATCTCAGTTTCTTTGAACAACTAAATCTTGGTGCAAATTTTTTATCAAATTCCTTACATCAATTATCTTTTTTACAAAGTTGTAAAAAATTATCGCTTTCAAGTAATGAATTAGAAAATTTGAAAAAATTTCCTATATTACAAAATCTTGAGGTTTTGTCATTAAGAAATAATAAATTAAATAATTTAGAGGAAATATTACAATTGGTAACAAGACATAAGTTAAAGATACTTGATTTAAGAGAAAATCCAATATGTAATACCAAAGAATTACAAAATAGTATTGTACAAATCAATCCAGAGTTACAAGTATATGTAGAGTAATAATTATAAGTAATATATTTATTATATCTCATGTTTAAGCAAAATTTAATACTAAAATGAAAATTATATCACATATAATATTAACAAAACAGGGATGAAAATCTTTTAAAAGAGTTTTATCAAAATGAATTAACACTTACTGAAAATTGTTTAAAACAAAATCCTAAATCTTATTGGGTATGGTATCAACGAATATGGATCATGAATCATTTAGTGGATTGTGACTGGAAAAAAGAGTTAATGTTATGTACTAAGTGCTTAAATTTGGATGATAGAAATTGTAAGTTGGTAATGTTATTAAACGTATTATTTTTATTAAAATGTAGTAAAATGTAAATATTATTTTTATTTTATTTTAGTTCATTGTTGGAATTATAGAGAGTTTGTCGTACAAAAAGCAGGGATTTCTCCTGAAGAAGAATTTCAATTCGCTACCTCAAAAATTCTAAATAATTTTTCTAATTATTCCTCTTGGCATTATAGGAGTCAACTATTATCTAAAATATTTTATAATTCTGATCAAAACAGAATTAATGAAAAAAAGAAAGAGGGTAATGTTTTTGTTAAGCATTAATCACAGTTGCAAAGTATAATATTTATTTTAAAATATTTTATAACATATAATAGCAAAATTATCTTTTTCCTTGTAGAATTAGATTTAGTGATGAATGCAACATTCACAGACCCTAGCGATTCTAGTGCTTGGTTTTACCAAAGATGGTTATTAGATACTCATGGATGTTTGACTACTCTTTCTCAAGCCTTAATAAAAGATAACAGTGTGATTCTTTTTGTTAATAAAAACATACCAGCTGAATCAATATTTTTGCAAATAAATAACAAAGATGAAGATGTTCAGTGGAAGTCTTGGCAAGAAACAAAGATTTCAAAATTATGGTTTGGAAAAGTTAAAAAACAGTTAGATGAAATAAAGGCTGTTGAAATTAAAATTGATGAGATATCTTATCCTTTACTTTGTGTTAATCAAAAATGGGTATATAGAAAAAGAAAATATGAATCCTACTCTAATGAAGATCAGTTATTAGAACAATTATCAAGTTATAAACAACTTGTAGAAATGGAACCTAATAATAAATGGGCTTATCTAACTGCTATTCTTTTAATGAGAAAAATCAATTTTATAAAATATTATAAAAATATTTTAATATATTTGAATGTCCTTGTTAATATTGATTCTCTTCGAACTAATTATTATAAAGATTTACGTAAGTATATTTAGCAAATAGCATATATATGTTACCATTTAATGTAATAATCATTGCTTTTATAATTAATTTAAAATCCAATTTTATTTTTTATATGACTATTTTTGAAAATTACTGTCAAATTTAAGATTTACAAGATTTTCTTTTTAATTTTTTTATCATAATTTAAAAGGACCTTAGTATCAATTTCTTGATATAAATTTCTGACAATATAAAAATAGATTTTGAATAGAATTATTCTTCCTTAAATCTAATTTTACCTGAATATATTCATATTAAATTCAGCTGATTCATATTAAATATTACATTTTTAAATTTAATAAGTAAATATTAACAAGTAAAAATTCCATTTTAAATTTTATTAGATTTGTATAAGAATTCTTCCAAAACTTAAATATTCAAAAATCAATAATTTTTATAAATACAATAAGATTAGATAATTGTGGAAAGGAGTGCATGAAGTAATTTCAATTAAATTGTAATAATAATTATATCTATTATAATCGTAATCTATATTTCTAATATTATCATTCTAATAAAAAGTTTTAAAAGTTAAACAGTGAATTTTTTCCAGGAAGCAAATACATAATTGAACACAAATTATATGAAATATGGAACACAGAAGACCAGGAAATAAAGTTAGAAATTGATCTTTCAGGATTACAATTAACAACACTTAGTAATGATGAATATCTCAGTTTCTTTGAACAACTAAATCTTGGTGCAAATTTTTTATCAAATTCCTTACATCAATTATCTTTTTTACAAAGTTGTAAAAAATTATCGCTTTCAAGTAATGAATTAGAAAATTTGAAAAAATTTCCTATATTACAAAATCTTGAGGTTTTGTCATTAAGAAATAATAAATTAAATAATTTAGAGGAAATATTACAATTGGTAACAAGACATAAGTTAAAGATACTTGATTTAAGAGAAAATCCAATATGTAATACCAAAGAATTACAAAATAGTATTGTACAAATCAATCCAGAGTTACAAGTATATGTAGAGTAATTTTTATACATGTATTGATGATAGCATATTATTGTAGATATATAATAAAATAACTTTAAAGTTTGGCTATGAATAGAACAAGAGTAACTTATTTATTACTTTCATTGCATCATATATTTCCAGTTGAATTTATGTATAACTAATTTTTTAATTTTTTAAATAATGTATTATATTATATTTTTACTATTAGGGTACTTAAATATCATAATAAAATTCATTAATATACAGACTATATTATTAAAATACTTAAGTATCTTGTACTATGATTGATAATCTAAAGGAATTTGTAATATTAAAAAATTAAATTGTATAAAGAATGAGTTATGATAATAAAAATAATTTGTTTTACCATTTTTAAAGGTATTTCAAAATCAATTTTGAAATGGAACTACAATCAATCATAAATGTTTATAAGCATTCACCAAAATTTATATATTAAATTTATAAAAAAACTAAAAATGTATATTGTCACAAAATGATCTATACTTATATATTAACACAAAATATTTGTTTTGCATATTATTATATTTTTTTAAAAGAAATTAAAAAGTCCTAATATAGTTCATAGAAACATTACATTTTACATTATAAATCAAGGTTTCATAGCTTTAGTTTTAGTTAAAAAAATGTTCAACAAATATACCTAATAAGTGTTTTATACATATATGTTACAAAATTTTTCGTTATGTAAGAAACTATTACAAATTTATAAAACATATCTCGATATTTATATATGACTGCATATAATATTCTTATTATTATAATATTGTGTTACAATACAAATTTTATTTTAATTGAATGTTATAATATCATTCATTTTAATTCACACATATATCTTTTGTTATTAATTAAATTTAAAGTATTTAGAACATATTTAGATAAATATTCTTATTATGTATAAAATAATTCTTACTTTTGATTAAATATTTTATTCATTATTGAATAAGTAATTTGTTTTATAAAATTGTTTATATAATCCAAGTAAAATAGCCTATCATTATAGAATTAAAAAGTATTTAAAGAAAACATGACTGTTGCTTTACTGAATAGTTTCAAATGTAATTATTCTTTTTAAATCTAGCAAATTTACTTTTATAAATACTATAAAGTATTACATATTAATTAT